TGTTCCCCAGTTATGTATGCACAAATAAATAAATCTTTAAAACAAAAAATCAAAACCATTAGTTGGGTAGGAATGAGGTACTGGAGAATGCTTTGATAGACTTTTTTATTTTTCACTCTTCCCTAAGATTTGATGAATTTGAATTGTTACTTTGGTTTATTCACATCAGATTGTCACTTTGCTCTTGTTTATAGTCAACACCAAAACTGTAAAGTAGTGTATAAGAGCAAAAGAGAATTGTCATCTAAATACTGGGATATGAACAGGGCATATTTTCTCAGTTCAAGTATCACCCTCTTCTGGGAAGCCTTTCCTGGCATTCTTTCTTCTGCAAGCTTCTGTAACAATTATTTGCTATTTCTATTTATAACATCCCCCCTCAAGATTTTATTTAGTTTTACTAGAAGAATGGGGTATAGGCCAGAGGTGTGGGGGTGAGAAGATTCACCAGAGACAAGAACGGGGAGCAGAACAGGCAAATCTACTGAAGTACACTGCTGAGGGGAGCAGTGGGCAAAAGAGGTCTACTGCCCCATGTGGGTCACCTGATGGGGAATCAAACTTATGCCACAGTGGCTGACCATAGTTTCATAGTGCTGAGACTTAATCTCCAGCACTACCAGGGAGGCCCTATAAAAAGTATTTTTTTTAAGACTATGGTGGCATATTTTTGTCTTATCTTTGTATTCAGTTTGCTTGGCATATAGTTGGTCTTCATTTACTGTATGTGCTTGAATGATTAAGCAAATATGGATGAGTTAAATATAAAAACACTCTATGAGAGGTTTGAATAATTGCTTCTGAAATATGGGGATCACATAAGAGGACATATTATTCATATGTTATGTGACATAACATATGATCCTGGCATTATACTTGACATATGACTTTATTCATGTCCATGAGCTCTTAAATAAGAGCAAGTAAAACTTTTAGGGTATCAAATTCACAGCTTGGAAAAATCAGTTATTATTTCATTGTAATATTTTTAGGGTGGGAATTAACCTAAGAAGTACAGGGTAGTTATTCAAATCTTAAATTCCAATAAAGAACAATTCTGTAATTATGTAATTTGTTGAAAGGGGACAAAGAAATTAAACAGTAGGTATTAAGAGGCAGTGTAAATAACATTCCTTGAGAATTTATTGTGTTCTTTGTATTTGGAATTATAGTATTTGGCAAAATAAGTTTCTAGAACAAGTTTTCTCAGCCTTTACATTATTACCATGTTGGGCAAGGTGATTCTTTTTTGTAGGGGAATTGTCTTGTCTTGTGTATTGTTTTTTTTTTTTTTTTAAGATTTCTTTTTTATTTTATTTATGCATCCAAGAACTGGGGTGTAGGCCAGAGGTGGTGGGGGTGAGAGGGTTCATCGGAGACTTAGTGGGAAGCAGAACAGGTAGATCTACTGAAGTAAACTGCTGAGGGAAGCAGCTGGCAAGATGGATAAGTCTGCTGCACCATGTGGGTCAGGACTCTGGCAGGGATCTGATTGGCCGGGGGATCCAGCTCTTGCAGAGGTGACCAATTATAATTTGCTAGTGCTGAGACTTAACCCTGCACTATCAGGGAGGTCCTGTATTGTAGGGTGATTAGCACCATTCCTGCCCATTAGATATCCACAATACCACCTCCTAAAGTAACAGTCAAGAATGTTCCCAGGCATTGTCAAGTGTCCCATGGGAGGCAGAATTGCCCCTCATAGAGATTGCTGCTCTTGAGAAAATATTCCCAATATTTCACTAAAATCATAATATTATTTTTCCAGGTGCCTCCTTCTAAAGTCAGCTAATAAATTACGTTTTGTTTAAGTTGCCTTTGGAAAAACCCTTAAATTTTCAAAATCTATTGTTACTTACAAGCTAAGAATTTTAGGGTCACTTTCTTTCATTTCCCCTTTCATGTCTGTGGTAGTCTCCCTTTTCCTGGGATAGGAGAAATTGAGGTCTTATTTGAAAGGGTTATTGGATGAATAAAGCAATATTTACTTCTGTTTTGTGGAAGAGAGCAAAAGAGGTTGAACTGATGTAATTTTTTTTTTACATTTATTCATACAAGAGCTGGGGGGTAGGCTAGAGATGCAGGGAGGGGTGGAGGGGGTGACAGGATTCACCAGAGACACAGTGAGGGGCAGAATAGGCAGATCTACTGAAATACACTGCTGAAGGGAGCAGTGGGGGAGACAGAAGAGGTCTTCTGTACCATGTGGGTTACCTCCCTGGCCAGGGATCAAATTTGTGCTGCAGTGACTACCTATAGCTTCATAGTGCTGCATTACTTAACCCCTTGTGCTACCAGGGAGGTCCCAAATCAAGATAGTTAAATGAAATGCTGAAGGATTCCATTGTCTTTCAGTTTCATTGATATAGTTTATGCCACGTGAGCATGCATTGTTGGGAGGTGTTTTGGTTGTGAGGAAAATCTAGCCTCACTTTTTAGTTATGTAGCTAAAAAAGGGATTTTTTTTTTTAATATCCCTTTCAATAATTTAGATACTCTCCTTAATAGTCTAGGGTAGCATTTCTCAAAGTTTGAAATTATTAAAGGTTCCAAATAGCTTTTATTTATGAGTTATACCTATGTATACTATACTAGAAACTTAAAGGGATTTTTAAAAAGGTTATTGATTAAAAACACTTGTCAACACAAATAATTTTATAAAATATTTAGTGATGGGTGCAGTTGTTGAGATTTTGGCATATTGCTTTACTGTCTGGCTTAATAGTCTCCTGGATTTGTAGATCTTTTGCAGTTACATGGTTGATGGGTTGTTTTGGCTGAAGTATGTGAGAAATATTTAATCACATTCAGATAT